AGTTCTGGAAGTGTGAGTTGCCTTTGGAACCCTGTGGCATAGGTTTTCACTGGAAGGTTGGATAGATAGGCTGTAGGAGGAAGGGCTGGGCTTGAAATACAAATTGGTGATGTGTCAGTGTGCAAGACAAAGAATGGTACATAATTTCCTGAGAGAGGTGAGTGAGGAGCCCTGGACAACACCAGTGTTTGTGTGATAGACTTAAGAAAACGACTTTATAGAAGGCACTGAGAGAATATCCCAAAAGTAGAGTGAAAGCCAGTTGGGTGAGCAATTTCTCTACCTTCCTTTGGGTTCTACTTCAGCTCCACTAGCTCTCAGGCAAGGGGTGTGTGTGTGTGTGTGTGTGTGTGTGTGTGTGTGTTTAGCCACACAATGGAGGGCTTGGTTTCTGCAGAATAGCCTCCCCACTAGGGCTTCAAATCTCTGGAATTTAGAAAAAAAAGTAAGGATGCATTTTAGGTTTGTTCCTCAAGAATTAGACCCTGAAGCAAAAAGTTTATTATGAGGTGATTCAAGAAGCTTTAGAGAGAGAGTTTTGCTGATAGTGCTCAGAAGTCGTTTCTTAGTTTTAGCATTTTTGCCACCTGGAGAGGCTGCGAATTTTCAAAACCATCCAGTCCTGGTTTCTTTTTATTTAACAGTTCTTCCTTCGACTTATCTCTCTCCTCTCACATTTCACGATGAGCAGGAAGATGCTGCTGGCAGTGCCTTCAACACTTAGGTTGGAAATCACTGTAGCTGGGTAACCAGGTTCATCCCTTACAAGCTTTGCTTTCCGCTTACAGCAGATGACAATTTTGTTAATCTTTCTGCTACTACATAACAAGGACCCCCCCTGTGCTCCAGTTTCTGGTAATATCTTCTTTACTTCCTTGTGGGCCCTGACTGGCAGCCTCCTTGTTTCCATATTTCTGCTCAAAATCTGCTCAGGGCAATTTAAACTTTTTCTGTCACACTCCTCAAAATTCTTCTAATCTCTATCCACTGCTTGGTCTCAAGGCCACTCCCACATTTTTAGGTTTTTGTTAGCAACACCCCACTTCTGGTACCAAATTATGTATTGGTCAGGGTTCAATCAGAAAATGAGAACTAGTAAGAGATATATACATGTTTATAGATATTAAAGGATTTGTTACAGGGTTACATAACTGTGGGCACTTGTTAAGCGATCTCTGTAAGGCTGTAGTCTCCTCATCTGATGCTAGAGATTGAGGTCCCAAAGTGGGGGGAAAGGAAAAGCATGGGCAGGGTGCAATCCACAGGCACAAGCTGAGACTCCATGAGCATGGGCTAGAACTTGTGTTCATACTTGTTGCCTCTGACCTTGGTGACAATGTTAATCCTGAAGAAGCAGGGGCCCTCCATCATGGAGCTAAACATACACAGATAGAGGAGGCAGAGTAGCTAAGGAGTCCCAAGGGAAGGGAGAGAAATTACTCAGCTAGCTGCTCTTTCACCCCACTGAGGTGAATCAGCAGATCAGCTTCAATACACATAAGCTACAAAATGGCTACTGCTTCATTTCTTCCTCTCTAGGCCCTGAATTCTCCCAAGAACCTCCTTTGTGTACCACCCCCCCTTACTAGGAACATGTGAGAAAGGAAATTATGGAATTGTAGTTTAGCCTACCAAGTCAACACATTATGGAGCCATCAAACTTATGCTCCTACATCAGCTGCAGTTTCCTCATCATCCATTGTATAGCTGCATCCTTTTCCTGGAGTACCTGCCCTTCTGCCTCCTAGCTCTGCCCAACTTGTGCCCCAGCTCTAATAGCAGCTTCCCTGTGACTAGCCCAATATGTCCTTATGATATCTGATAATTACTTTCATTATAGCAACTGTCACAAGTTATGATTTTTGTTTGTTTTTATGTCTATCTTCTCCATTGACCTCTATGCTCCCTAAAGTAATATGCCATATTTGTCTTATATCCTCAAAAGTTCATGCCTAACACATAGGAGGTGCTTAATACATTTGAATAAGTCACAATGCCTCTGATCCTTAGCATGTTTTACATGAAATACTGTTCTAACACATAAGACCATTGTAAGGATGAACTGTGCTAATATATGTGCCACTGTCCAGTTATTGGTAGGTTATTAAGGAAGCGCCAGAATTCCCAGCTTGGGCCTGGCCCTATGGTGTAGCAGATGGCCACTGAGGGCCCTCTACCTTCAACACTGTGCCCTGTCAATGTCTTCATCCTGGAACCATACAGATTAGGGAGATGAAAAAAATCTTTAAAAGTGCTATATGTTTACAAAATTCAGGAAGGAGATGCACTGATGAAATTCAGTCTTGAGGAGAGAAACATATGATCTTTTCACACAAGAACTCCCCTGTTAGCTGGAGATAAAGTGATCCTGACCTTGGGGAAACCACAGTCATAGGGGTATGTTGTCTATGGGTCAAAAGAATTAGTGTATTGACCTAGAACATGTCCAGGATAGTTAGCAGGTCAGGCCCAGGTCTAGATAAGCAAGATGTTGTCTGGCTGTCTCTCTATTCAACACATTAATTGTCTATCCATATTTTACTAGTGCTATATTAATTGCTGGGAATGTAGAGGAATTAACACACGTGAAATGTTTAGTATAGTGCTTGGTGCCTGTAAGCCCAGAAAATATTTACTATTCTTCTAATTATTAAGTTATACATACAGTTCTTAATGTATGCTTCATCTTTGTATTATATTAATAGATATGCAGTTGTTATCTCTCTCTCTCTCTCTTTCTTTCTCTGAGTACTTCGTTGGTTTTCATGAAGTATCATTTGGACCGTTCATCCATCTGATGTTTGACTAATTATTATAATTTATTTGTACTTAGGTGCCCGGAGCTGTGGCTACATGCTTTAATTTCACAAGAGTTAAGATTAGACCCAGCTACATATAACCAAGAGTATATCTAATTTCTTCCTATCATGCAAAGAATGCCTGGAGGTAGTAGTCAGGGCTAGTACAATGGTTCTGCAATGTAGTCAGGAAGCCAAGACTTTTTCTATCTTTTTGTTTCACTAGTTGCAAGGGAGGCTGGGAAATGTAGTATTTAGTTGGGAGCATCATTACCCTGAATATTACCCTGAATAAAAATAGAATTCTATTACCAAGAAAAATGGGGAGAATGAATATTGAGTGAGTGGCATGACAGCTTCTTAGACCTGAGCACCTGATTCCATCAGAAGCCAAAAGGTGACCTCTTCTCTGGATTACCATGTTCTTATGAAGCATGAGTGTAATGCAAAATGTCAACAGGTATTGCAAAGGTAAAATCCTTGTTCAACAATGGCTTAGTGGAGAGGTTGGGTTATTCTCAGACTAGTTATAGGGAGTCTTGCAAGTTGGTGTGCCAATCCAGGAATCAATTTTGAAAGTTAACCCATAGAAATTTAAAGTGTCTAAAGATAAGATATTATCCGGACCTAGTATTTCGGTTTACCTGTGCTCCAGCCATTGAGGGAGAAAATTCCTGTTCTGCGCCAAAAGTGAGACAGATGTCAGTTTGAAGAGGAAAGAAAGAGGGCCAGTGGATACCTCTTGCTAGGACCTAATTCACACTCGGGGAACATTTGATCCTCTGGGCTCTGAGGGAAGTTTAATTGAAATGCAAAAACCAAAGGTCAAAACCATGTAAAATTTAAAGGCCATTTTTACTATTTGACAAGGAACAAATTGTAACTTTATATTGCTTTTAGATGCAATTTTGTTCAGTGAAATTAGATTATACTCAACTAAAGCACCTTTTTAAAGCTTTTAGATTAAATATTAGAACTTATTAGAAGGACCTTGATTTCGTCAGTAAATACCAACGAAAATATTTGGTGGGAAATGCAGCTGCCTAATTTGCATTAATACAAACGAGAACTATTAAGCTTAGTTGATTAGCATATTCATATGTACTATAGTCCCATGTATTTAAAATAGATTCTGATTACAAACTCAGTGTATATATAATGCTGTGAGCCACAGCCTTGGCAACAGAGGGTGCCGCTGACCGAGGATGAGGGACCCCAGCAGGAGGTAAGTTTTGAACTGATTGCTGGTTTCAGGATTGTTCTGCAACTTGGAGCCATTTAGAGTCAGCCCTGTCCTGAAATCTCCAAGAAGCAGATGAACTGACAGAGAGTAACCAGAGACAGAGCTGAGGTTCCTAGGAACAAGATATATCAGAGCAAATATGCGTGTGTGCGCATATGTGTCATTCATTTGTTTATTATTACTTACATATAATAATAAATATATATTAATATTATTTATATTTAATAAGTAACACACTTATAATGCATAAATATATATAAGACCTATTTGCATGTTTATTATGTGCCCATCATATTCTAGGCACCAGAGTGGTGCTGGATGCTGCTGAGAATGAGGGTCACCCTGAGAATAGTTCTGGAGGAGATGAACCCACCCTCAGTGCCTGGAGGAGATGAACCCACCTTGCTAAATCTGAGGCTGATTTTCCAAATTCCCACCTGATTTGGTGACCTGCTTCTTTCGTGGCTGAGAGAGTTGTTCCTGCGGAAGGTGGCTTTCAATGTGGGGAGCTGGGATGGACAGTGGGGGACAGGGGAGAGCTGCATGGCTGCTTTGCTCTCAGGGAGCCTACAGATAACTCCTGGAAGGGTACTTGTGTTCCCTGCTCCCCCAAATACATTTCTTCTGAGTTTCCTGTTTCTACAACTGGAGGTGACTGCAATTGGCCAAGTGAGCTGCTAACGTGTTTGGATGGGCTGGTGAATATTGCTTACAAATAAGTACATGTCCCTTAATATTTCATGGTCAGTGCCCTCTAGGGAGGGCAGCGCTCTCAAGGAAAGGGGCACTTCCTTGTCTATGTGTCTGTCCAGGCTGCAGAGCTTCCAGAGCAGGCCTGAGTTGGGCAAGTGCCATTTGAGATGGTGGGTGTTGCCAGGGGAGCCTAGTGACTCAGTGTGTTTACTTTGCTCCTTTGTGCTGTCACCTTTCTGGTGGGATGTGGAATTCTGGAATTTTGGTACCAGAAACAATCACAGACACTATTCTATTTGAAAGACAAGGAAACCGAGGTTCCTGAGAGTCCTGAGACATGCTGACGTGATGCATTCCAAACCAAAGGCCCTGTCTTCCGAACCTCAGACCAGCATGTGAATTACTGACAATGATTCCTAATGTTTATTTTATTTCCATAGATCCAAGCTGCCCTCTGTGTGCATTGCAACTAGATGTAACAGGTTTTTAAATATTCGCAGGAAGAGAAAGGCTCCATGTTTTGTGACTTTTCTGGAACCTGGCTATTCATTCATTTATTCGTTGTCCTAATAGATACTTACCAAGTTGCCTTAGCTGCTAGGACCTGGGCTAGGTCCTGGAGTGGAAGTCGTGAGCAAAATGAGCTTGTGTTCGTTCTAGTGAGGAGAGTGAGACATTGAAGGTGTCACTGCCAGGTGGGGATGCTCTGAGGAAGCATGTGGCATGGTCAGGGGTGGAGAGTGACCAGGCTATTGTCCTGAGAGCAGGAGTGCGGAGGCATCATTTGGTGGGCAGATAAGCTGACATGTGAGCGCCTGAAGGAAGTGGGTGATGAGACACAGATGACCTGGGGAGAGAATGTTTCAGACAGTGGCAGAGGATGCAGTGGGTGGGGTACGATAGGGGCCCAGGTAGGGGAGGGCAGTAGGGTGGAGGTGCAGAGGAGGAGGCCCAGCTCAAGCAAACGCACATCACTTAGTAACTGCACTGGGACAGAGGTGAAGGACAGGGTCCTGGACAGGCTGGGGTGTGTGGCTGCCTGCCATGAAGGTCAGGGTGGGGCGCTGGCTCTAACTGTGGGTGGGCAGACAGTTCAAGGGCTCTGAGCAGAGGGCAGGGGTGCTTGACTCTTAATCCGGATTGACCGTGGAGTTATCAGAGTTCACTGTCAGAGTGGACGCAGGCTGTGGGAGAAACAGAGAAGCAAGCATGACTCCATGGTGGCCTGAGCACCTGAGCACGTGGTGCCTCTACTGAGGTGCCAGGAAATGGTCAGATCAGTTTTGAGGAGAAATGGAAGAGTTTGGTTGTATGCATGTTACCTTCGATGTTCTTATTTGACACTCCACTCATTCAAGTGGAGACGTCTTATTAGTCAGACACTGGAATCATCAGGAGAGATGTATATGTGGTGTGGAGAGTCCCTGGGGCTGGATGAGATCTCTGAGAGAGAGAGTCTAGGCAGAGCAGAGAGAGGGCAAGGATGGAGCCCTGGGCCTTGTGGCACAAGACCAGAAGGCTGAGAAGGAACACAGAGAGGTAGGAAGAAAGGAAGTGTGGACAATATTTTCAGGGTCTGCCATGACCTGTTCTGGATGTTCCCATCAGGACAGTGACTCAGAGCAGGATTTAGTGGGAGAGGAGGGAGGCAGTGAGATGTCAGTCCTGAGCGCTGAGCCCAGTGCCTGCCTGTGAGGACAGGGGCAGCTCTGTTATGAGCAGGTGTGTGGGAGGATGAGCTATGGGGGAGAAGGGAGGGTGGGATCTGAGCAAATGCCCTCACTGGCCTCTCTGGGGGGAGTTGGAGCCATGGTGCAGAACGTGCCATCTGGGCAGCCTGAGGTGGACACTCCTTGCTCTGCGGGTCACCAGTGACTAATGACAAGAGCCCACCTGCACCTGTCGATACAGCCTACCCTCCAGAGTGAAAGAGCAGAGGGGAAATGACATCAGGGCTTCTGTGGAGGCAAAGGAACCCTGGGAATTACAGGTGATGTGAGATGATCGGGACCTTTCCGTAAAGCCAGGAGAATTTGGGGTCAGGATGCAGGGATCAGCTCCAGCTTCCTCATTGGGCCTCTCTGAGCCTTTGTCCCTTTTGTCTCTAAAATTGGGTATATCCCTGCCTCGTCTGGGTTCTGTAAGGATTAAATGAGATAAGCTGTGCTATTGTAAAAATCCAATGCATGCATTTTCTTCATCTTCATAATTTTGCTACCCTTTTCTGTTTATAAATTGAAACACATGTGGGGGATTGTTTTCTAGAGTGAAAAAAAGAAAAAAACAAGGAACAGAGAAAGTCGTCTTTGGTCGGTGAGTGTTTAGGAAATTTCAGGGCAAATCAAGGACAGCGACTGCAACTCTAATAAGATCTCTTCCAGCACGAGGATGGCAGAGGTGACAGAGACACAGCTTTGTGACTCCCAGTGGGCTCCTGAAGAAGACCAGGTCGCGGTCTGCCCACCCTGACCCTGCTGAAGGAAATGACGGTGGGGTTCGGAACTGGAACTGCTTCCTGAGCAGGCATCTAATTCATTGCCCTGAGCTCAGTGGAGTGGCTTAGAAGGAAGGATCCTGATGCAGCCTGAGGCTGGCTGTGCCAGGTGAGGAGCTCTGGGAGCCTCAGCCCTGTCCTCTGTCCTTGCAGACACCCAGGGTGCATGACCACAGCTGTGAGATCAGCCACTTCTCAATCCATGAGCATGTGCCTGGGTGCTTGGACACGGTGCTGTGATGGACACCCCAAAATGTCTGCTCCCTGTGGTCGGACCATGTGCAGACATTGTGTTTTGGTTAGAGGATGGTACCCAGCCCTCCATGGCCTCTGCCAGGAGCCCACCCTCAAATCCACATGGCCTCCACCTGACACCAGCGGAATCACTAGGGAATCAGATGACCAAGGGGGGTACTTTGCCTTGACAAAGCGCAAGTAGGGGTGTCACCTGCCAAAGGCCCTGCCTGGGGGCACAGGGAATGAGGGCCATGTTTCACTGGGGGCAGAAGGGTGTGGTGGCAGGCACAGCCTCTGGAGTGGTCGGCCTAAGGCCTGACAGGGAAGGTCAGAAGGGCCAGGCTTGTGGCAATGGGGCTCTTGGGGTGGGGGAAGAGAGGGGGCTGAACTCGGTTTTTGCTGACCTCTAATTGTGGCCAATGCCAGCCTTGCCAATGGCGGATCTTCAGGTCCTGAGGTTTAGACCTTTGCCAGAGCCACCCTCAGGTCAGGGCTTCCCAGGAGTGTGGGGTTCTCATCCAGCCTTCAGATCCTTCCTGGTGAGCTGAATGATTGCTAAGAGTCTGCGGCGTGCTCCCTCAGGGCTGGCCTTTTAGCCCCTTTGACTGCTTAATTCTGCATGGCCTCATCCATTATCTCATGGGTCAAACTCATCTCTTCGTGCTCTAGAAGCAGCAGGTGTATCTCCCATGCCCGCTCCTGTCCCCCCTCCCTCCTCTGCAGGGCCCTGCTCCAGCAAGAGCCCGGCGCAGGGCTCAGGAAGCACCAAGGGCTGAGGAAACCCTCAAGCTGCAGCGGCGATGCTCCACAGTGGCAGTTCGAGCTCCAGCCATCAGTTGGTGGTGGCGGGGAGGAGCACCTCATGTGGCTGCCTGCCCTCTCCATCTCTGGTCTCCTCTGGTCTTTGCTCAGGGGCCTGACTAAAGCCCATACGGAGGGAGACTCTGTTCACCTTCCCAGATGGGACCACCAGGGGGCAGTGGAGCACACTCGCAGGCTGCCTGCCGCCTCCGGACCGGGAAAAGTCTGCAGAAGCTTGAGAGGCAGGGGGCACAGGCCAAGGCGACCGTAGCGTCAGAAATCATCCTCAGATCACAGGTCCTCCTCTCAGAGAACGGCAGAACTGTGCACTGGCTTCAAATCAACCAGCTTCTCTCTCCACGCAGAAGCTGCCCACCCTTCATAGCCTCATCATCATTTTGTTCTGGATCATCACCCCGATTTCACTGGCAGGCAGAGCCCAGAGAGGCTGAGTGACTAAACTGAAGCCACACAGTCACGAAAGAGGTCGCGCATGGGACTTTTCACGGTGAGATTTTAACCCCACGGATCTTCCTCACTGCTTCATGATGGTTAATCCAGTTCTCACCTGGGAAAGCAGATACCTGGATTCCCCTTCACAACTTCATCAGAACCTCTTGGGGGAGGGAAGGATCTTGCCTGGAATCTTCATTTTTAACAAGCTCTCCAGGTGATCCTGGCAGACATGCTGATTGAGAACCCTGCACTTGTGGGAAGACCTGGCCTGAACCCAACTGTAAAGGAAGGAAATACAGGTACAGGAAGGAAATGGGACAGTGATGAACCATTTCCTTGGTCTCCCTTTATCACACCCTTGCCCCTTATGCTGGGCTTCCAACCCCCCACCCCAGCCCACCACCCCAGCCCAGGGTGTAACTACCCACCTCCGAAATCCCCCTGGGGCCAAGGACTTATCCGCATCACTCCCGACCTCCTCTCCTCACACTCTGACCAAGATCGACACTGAGATGCCCTTTACTGCCATACCTTCCGAAATGACAAGTTAATCTGATTAAAAAAATCAATTGTTGTGGGATTAAGACAGAGAGTGGCCCCAACAACTGGCCAATCCCAGGTATCATGGGAATCTAAAGCAGCGTTTTCTGGATGTAACATCACAGTCTCAGCTTTTAATCCAAGTGCTACAACGAGGCTGAGAATTTCAGGGAAGAAGAGGGAGACGCATTCAGAAAGATAGAGACACTGGATGCTGGGGCTGGGTTGTCAGAGGTGTTTTATCCATACCACAGAGGCGACCGATGCCAGTCTCAGGTTTTGTTTTGGTGACAAGAGTATGTATTGCTTTTTCTATTACAGAGATAATATATCTATGCATGCAAAATATCTAAGCAATTTAGAAAATTATAAAGGAAAATTAAAAGCACAATGATTCCTGCTACATAGCTGTGTTAAGATGTCAGATAACATCTGTTCAGACACCTCTCTATAAAGGTGACAATGATCAACAATTGCTAAACGTTATCATGTACCTACTATGTGCCAGACACAGTGCTGTGTGTTTCCCATACGTTTTGTCATTTAATTCTCACATGTCCCAGAAGGAGGTGATGGTTTTTTGATGGATAAAAAGACTCACATTAGAAAAGTTGAGTAACTTGTCCAAGAGGAAATACTATGTGTTGGGTCAGGAACCCAACTCAGGCTTCTCTTACTCAGAGCCCAAGCTCTTATTCACCTTTTGATATTTGCTACATATGTAGGCACATACATACCCTGAAGACATATACAAGGAACTCACACACACATACTACTCCCAGAACTCACACATGTACCCCATGGACACACACACACAGAACTCACATGTAAGTACATCCCCTCAGAACTCACCCAAGCACTCTGCAGATACACACATGGGGAAGTCACATGCAAATATAGCACAGACACACATAAAACTCATATGCATACATTGCAGACAAACACCCTACAGACACATTCACAAAACTCACCACACACACAATACACATACATATGCATCACACACAAACACATACCACACGCACACATAGATTCCATGCACATGCTGAAGATAGACACACAAACCTCACACATATGCACACACTGCAGACAAACATGGAGAGCTCTCACACAAAGAAACACTATAGATTTATACACAGGACTCACATACATATTACACATATATATGTACACACACTAGACAGCACACACCCACAGCTACACAGACACATGCATATGTATAGGTTGTCTTAGTCCATTTTCTGTTGCCGTAACAGACTATCATGCACTGCATAATTTGTAAAGAAAATAAATTTATTTATTAAGAACTCATGGTTCTGGAGCTGGAAAGTCCAAGAGCATGGCACTAGCATCTAGAAAGGACCTTCTTGCTGTATTGTAACATGGCAGAGGGTACCGTGTGGCAAGAATGAGGGCATGTGTGTACATGCCTGCATGTCCATTCAGGTCTCTCTTCCTTTTCTCAGAAAGCTGGCAGCCTTATCAAGAGGGCTCTACCCTGATGATCTTATCAATCTAAATTACCTGCCAAAGGCCCCACCTCCAATCAACATAAGAATTTGAAGATTAAATCTCCAACACATGAAATTGGAGGGATACATTTAAACCATATCAGAGGAATAAACCTACACATATACTCCCAGACTCTTTTGAAATCTGATTTTTCTTTTAATTCATTATGTATCTAGAACTTTCATTTTTAAAAAGCCTGTATAGTATTCTATTGACTATATCTATCATATTGTATCTAATCAAATCCTATTGATGGCTATATAAGTTTATTTAGAATATTTAAGTTAAGCTAAAAATAACAAAAATAGAAAGTTACTGGGTTTTCATTATGTGCCAGGTTACATGCATCATATTTGTGGTCCCCAACACCTGGGCTGTGACCTGGTACCCATTGTGATCTGTTAGGAACTGGGCCGGGCATCACTGCCTAAGCTCCACTCCCCCACTCCACCGTCCGTGGAAAAATTATCTTCTATGAAACATAGGGACTAGGCTGCACAGCAGGAAGTGAGCTGTGGGTAAGCAAGTGAAGCTTCATCTGTATTTACCGTCACTCCCCATCACCCGCATCACCACCTGAGTTCTGCGCTCCGCCCCTGTGGCCCCATTTGTGAAAAAATTGTTTTCCATGAAACTAGTCCCTGGTGTCAAAAGGGTTGGGGAACCACTGCATTATATCACCTAATCTTCACAATTCTGTGTGAAACAGCATTTGGCAGATGAAGAAGCTGAACTCAGTGGCAGAGCCAGGAACCAGACCCAGAAAATCTGTCTCCAGACTCACTCTTATATGAATTGACTTTCAGTGAATATCCATGTATATACATGTCCCTGATGGAAAAATTCCTAAAAGAGGAATTCCAAGTTTGAGAGTGTTTACATTCTCCATTATAAACACATTCCTGAGGTGGCCTTCAGAGAAATGTATCAACGAATACACCGCTAAACCCATGTACACGTGTCTTATTTCTCTTCAATTTTGCCAGGACTTGGTATTTTTTATTTTTGTTGTATGTTAGGTAAAAAGTTATATCTAAGTATTAGAAAAAGCCCTTTAGGGAATCAGGTTTGACTGACATGGTAAGAGAAGGGTTTGTGGTAGAGGAAAACATTATCACCATTGAAGAATGATTTGATTTCCATTAGCAGAGGATATTTTTCTTTAAGACAGGGGCAGTGGCATTACCCAATGTCTTAGGATTCTTAGTGGTCTTGGGGCTTCTAACCCATTGAGTTGTATGTAGAAGGCTCTTAAGACTTGCTTGTCACAATGAGACGCTGTCCTGAGGCTCAGTGTTTGGAAGTTTTGCCTCTTGTACATATGGACACTGTGCTATGTGTGCTGCGGAGCTCACCTTCACCTGTGATACTGTTCTAGGACCATCTTTTGGAAACATGGAAGGTGGGCCTAAGGGCCACTTCAGAAACATTGATGGCAGATTTGGAGCTCTGCGAGTGGACCATTTATCCCTGTTGGCTTCATAAACTTCCCATGCAAAGCAGGCATTGCCAGAGCAGCTCCATGGGGCCAACTGCTATTCCCCTCTGACCTGAGCTGGTCGCTGCTGGAGGAGGGAGTCTTGCTGTGCGTTTCAGGCCTGAATCTCCCCCAGGTAGCTGCCTGTTGTTTTACAAGTGGTGGCTCTGCCAGGTTCACATTTTATTGGATCATGATAAAAGGGTGCAGGCAGCACTGGAGGTACAACTGGGGCTGTGTCGTGTCCCCAGCCAGCCCCTGGCCTCCTCCTCGAGCTGCCTACAAACAGTCCTGCCCTGTCTCCATCACCACCTGCCAAACTCTCAGCTCAGCTCAGAGCCCCTAGGGCTGGGCGGCACCAGGCAGCTCCTGAGTTCGCTCAGCCGTTGCAGATTTGACACACGATCAAAACGGCAGCTATTCCTTTTCTTGAATTCTACCTTCCTGAGTTATTATAAAATCCAGCTTTTTCTTGCCTGAGAGATTGGATTTCTAGCTTCTGTTGTAAATTTGCTTCTAAGTGGGCTCCTTTGGTATGGCAGAAGAGAGAGAGCAAGAAAAGAAAGAAAGAAAGAAAAAAAAAAAACACTACAGGTGAACTGCTCCTTCCACAGTCAATGTGGCCCGAAGGCTTTCCTTTCTACAGAGAGCGGCTTTTTGTCCCAAGGGGGCAGAGGGGCAGGGTGCTGAATAGAATAGAAAAGAAAAGAATAAAAGCTGAATTATAGCCAGGAAAGAAAAAGAAGATGGGCTCTTTCTCCAAGCGTCTGAAAAATCAGTCAGGGCCTAGAGAAAAGTAGGCAGCAGGAATATGTAAAAATAGTTGGCTTTTTTTTCTCCTTGAGCTTATTTTATAGGCGACATTGTGGCTGTTACTCTTGTAGGCTGATCAGGTTTTCCCCTTGTCTAGCCTGTGCTGAGACCAACCCATGGACGCGGAACCTGCCTCCCTTCTCTCCAGGTCCAGAGAACTTTTAGCCATCCCAGTAGTTCCATACAGTTCCAGGGGACCAGAAAGTATAGAGTTAAATATTTTTGCTAAATACAATAGACACCGCATATTCACATGAATATCATTCCCAATTTCTTTCTTATATCGTCTATATTATTTTTATCACACGTTTTACTTTTACATATATTGTAAACACAATACATTGCTACTATTTTTGCTTTCGACAGTTATCTTTTAGTACTATTAAAATAAGAATAAAGGAAATTTAATTTTCCCTTCATTAATTTCATCCCTCTTCATTTCATTTTATGCAAATCATAGTTTCTATCTGGTTTGCCTGGCATCATATTATTTCTGCCTTTAAAACTTTCATTAATATTTCTTATGGGTCTCCTGACAAGGAGTTTTCATAGTTTTTCTTTCTTTAAAAAAGTATTTCTCACTTTCCCCCTTTTTAAACTTCAAAATATTATAGGGGAACAAATGTTTTTGTTATGCTTGAGTCAGGGTTATAAGTGTGCCCACCACCAAGATAGTGTTAATCATACCTGTTGGGTAGGTTTTAACCCATCTCCTTATCTCCTCGCCCCACTTTATTTCCACTGAGTTTTACTTCCCTCTGTGCATATGTGTGCTCATCGGTTAGTTCCAATTCAATAGTGGATACATTTGGTATTTGTTTTTCTATTCTTTTAGATACCTCACTTAGAATAATGGTCTCCAGTTCTATTCAAATTGTTACAAAAGGCCTTAATTCATCCTTTTTCAAGAATGAGTAGTATTCCATACCATACATATACCACATTTTGTTAATCCGCTCAAGAAATGATGGGCACTTGGGTTGATTCCACATCTTTGCATTGTGAATTGTGCCACAATAAATATTTGAGTGCAGGTGTCTTTTTGATAAAGTGACTTCTTTTCCTTTGGGTAAATACCCAGTAGTGGGATTGCTGGATCAAATGATAGGTCTACTTTTAGTTCTTTGAGAAATCTCCATACTGTTTTCCATAGAGGCTGTAGTAATTTACAGCTTCACCAATAGTGTACGAGCATTCCTTTCTCATTGCATCTATGCTAGCATCTATTGCTTTTGGACTTTTTATTAAGAGCCATTCTGACTGGGGTAAGATGATATTTCATTGTGGTTTTAATTAGCATTTCACTGATAATTAGTGATGTTGAGCATTTTATCATATGTTTATTGGTCATTTGTCTATCTTCTTTTGAAAAGCTTCTGTTCATGTCTTTTGCCCACTTTTTAATGGGGCTGTTTGGTTTTTCCTGGCTGATTTGCTTCAGTTCTTTGTAGATTTTGGTTATTAACCCTTTATCAGATGTATAGCTTGGGAATATTTTCTCCCATTCTGTAGCTTGTCTGTTAGCTCTGTCGATTATTTCCTTGGTTGTGCAGAAGCATTTTGTTAATCAAGTCT